CCAGGGCGCACCGGTAGGAACAGCAGCGGCTCGACAGTAGGGCGGCTCGGCGGCTCGGCGGCAGGGCGGCTCGGCTGCTGGGCGGCTCGGCTGCTGGGCGGCTCGGCGGCTGGGCGGCTCGGCTGCTGGGCGGCTCGGCGGCTCGGCGGCTCGGCTGCTGGGCGGCTGGTCTGCTGGGCAGCTCGGCTGCTCGGCGGCTCGGCTGCTGGGCGGCTTGGCTGCTGGGCGGCTTGGCTGCTGGGCGGCTCGGCTGCTGGCCAGTGGGCGGCTCGGCTGCTGGGTTGCTCGGCGGCTCGGTCGCTGGGCAGCTGAGCGGCGACAGGGCCGCTAGAGGAGGGCGGCGGGGCCGCAGGTGACGGCAATGGGGCCGCAGGTGGCGGCGACGGGGCCGCAGGTGGCGGCTGCGTGGCCGTAGGTGGCGGCGACAAGGCCGCAGGGGGCGGCAACGGGGCCGCAGGTGGCGGCGACGGGGCCGCAGGTGGCGGCGACGGGGCCGCAGGTGACGGCGACGGGGCCGCAGGTGGCGGCGACGGGGCCGCAGGTGGCGGCGACGGGGCCGCAGGTGACGGCGACGGGACCGCAAGTGGCGGCGACGGGGCCGTAGGTGGCGGCGACGGGGTCTCAGACGGGCCGCAGAGGGGCTGCAATGGGCCTAGACAGGGCCGCAGAGGGGGCCGCAAGGGGCCTAGACGGGGCCGAAGAGGGGCCGCAAGGGGCCGAAACGGGGCGGCAACGGGGCTGTAAGGGGCCAGAAAGGGCGCCGCGAGGGGCCGAAAGAGGGCCGCGCGAGGGCCATAAGGGCGGCGCGAGGGGCCGTAAGGGGCCGTAAGGGCGGCGCGAGGGGCCGTAGAGGGCGGCGTTAGGGGCCGTAAGGGCGGCGTAACGGGCCGTGAGAGGGGCCACTAAGGGCAGCGCAAAGGTAGGGAGGGCACACAGAGCGCGACTCGGGCAGGAGTGAAGCGCGCTCCGGGCAGGAAAAAAAAATCGTGGTGGGCCCTAGGTAGCGTTCCCCTTTAGGGAACCTGCCCGATACCATGATAAGAAACGAGGAAGGAATGCATTGAGCAGAATGAGGAGTACAAATAGTAAACCCTAAAGTGTCGTACCCCATATGAACTGCCCCACTACAGCCTACACAGACTATAGCATATATGCCTGACAGAAACTTGACGGCGTGCCAACATTGCACCCGTAGGACAGCAGTGCACCTGCTTGGCAGGTGCTTGCAAATGATTGGGGTGTTGTGCCTCGTCACCTGCTCAATGCACACACCAAATCGTCCTCGTGCCGACGATTGCACCTGATCAGCCACGTCAACCTCGGGATACACACCGAGGTTGGCCTCGCCACGAACACCTGGGCAACCGTCGCAGTTCTCCGCAGATGCCCGTCGCCCAGGTCACCTGGTCGACCGGGCAACCACCTCGTCGACCGGCTCCTCCTCGTGCCCCGCGACCTCGTTGGTCGAGGACCACCTCAAGTCGATCAACTCCATGTCGACCACGCTCCTGGTCGACCAACTCCAGGTCGACTACGCTCCTGGTCGACCAACTCGAAGTCGACCAGCCCAGCTGCCAACCAACCACGCTAAGTCGGCTACCCCAAGTCTGCGTCCTCAAGTCGACGCCTCCGAGGTCGACCTCGCCCGATCGACCACCCACACTCGGCGCCCTCCGAAGTCGCCGCCCTTGCACTGACCCCTGTACAGGGCGACCAGCCCTGTCGACCAGCTCGCCCACTGCTATAGGTCGGCTGCACCTTCCACACACCCGACCACGAGGTCGGCTCCGCCCAAGCGAGGACGGGGCCTAACACAATTCCCATTGACATTAGTCTTAGTACCACTCATAGTAACGCACATACTTTTAGTACCACTCATATGGCTAAGTAATGCACATACTCTTACTACCAGATATATCGTTAAATATTGCTTTTACTCTTAGATCCACTGATATCATTAAATAACGCACTTACTTTTACTACCACTCGTATCACCGTGTAATGCACTTACTCTTAGTACCATGCATATAGCTTAGAACGCATTTACTCTTAGTACCACTCATATGGCTAAGTAACGCACTTACTCTTAGTACCACTCGTATGGCTAACAAACGCATATACTTTTAGTACCACTCATATAGCTAAGTAACAGACATATTTTTAGTGCCACTCATTTGGCTAAGTTACGCACCTAGACTTTGACAAAGTTTAAGGAAGAAAGAGAGATTGAACTAGCAGGAATGAGGATACAAATAGCAAAACCCTAGAAGGGTTGTACTCGCTATAGAGCACCCCACTACAGGCTAGAACATAAGATAATATTCTGACAGACTTAGTACCACTCATACAGCTAGGTAACGCACTTACTCTTTGTGCCACTCATATTGTATTGTAACGTGCTTATTCTTAGTACCGCTCATATGGCTAAGTAACGCACTTAATGTTAGTACAACTCATACGGCTATGGTAACGCACTTACACCTAATACCACTCATAAGGCTAAGTAACGCACTTACTCTTAGTGCAGCTCATATTGTTAAGTAACGCACTTACTCTTAGTACCACTCATATGGCTAAGTAACTCACTTACTCTTAGTACCACTCATATGGCTAAATAACGCACTTACTTTGAGTACCACTTGTGTTGCTTAGTGACGCACTTACTCTTAGTACCACTCATATGGCTAAGTATCGCACATAGTCTTAGTGCCACTCATATAGCTCAGTAACTCACTTACTGTTGCTATTATTCGTTTGGCTAAGTAGCGCACATACTTTTAGTACCACTCATATGGCTAAGTTACCCTCCAAGCCTTCCTTAGTACCACTCGTATGGCTATATAACGCACTTATTCTTAGTACGATTCATACGGCTAACTAACGCTCTTACTCTTAATACTACTCATACAGCTAAGTAACCCCCTTACTCTTAGTGCAACATATATTGTTAAGTAACTCACTTACTTTTAGTACCACTCGTATGGCTAAATAACGCACTTACTCTAAGTACCACATGTGTTGCTTGGTGATGGGCTTACTTTTAGTACCACGCATATGACTAAGTAACGCATTGACTTTTAGTATCACACATACGGCTAAGTAAGACACAACTCTTAGTACTACTCATATCGTTAAGTAATGACTTACTCTTAGTAGCACTCATATGTCTGAGTAACGCACTTACTCTCAGTACCAATTATACAGCTCAGTAACTTGCTTACTGTTGCTACCATTCGTATGGCTAAATAGCGTACATACTTTTAGTACCACTCATATGGCTAAGTTACGCACATAATCTAAGTACCACTCATGTGGCTAAGTAACACACTTGCACTTAGTACCACTCATACAGCTAAATGATGCACGAACTCTTAGTACCACTTATACGGCTAAGCAACCCACTTACTTTTAGAACCGCTCATATGGCTAAGTGACACACTTACTCTTTGTACCACTCATATGGCTAACTGACACATTAAAATTTAGTAATACACATATGGCTAAGCAATGCACATAGTCTTAGTAGCACGCATGTCGCTAAGTAACGCACTCCACTCACATATCTAAGTAACGCGCTTACTCTTAGTACCACTCAAATCGTTAAGTAACGCACTTACTCTTAGTACTAGTCATACGGCTAAGCAATGCACTTACTACTAGTACCATGTATAATGCTTAGATGCACTCTTACTATCACTCATATTGTTTAGTAACGTACATACTTCTAGTACTATTCAAACAGCTAAGTAACGTGCTTGGTCCTAGTACCAGTCATATAGCTAAGTATTGCACTTACTATTTGTACCACTCATATCGCTAAGTAACGCACTGTGAGAACATTATAGCTTATACATTTGTGTAGGCTGTAGTGGGGTAGCCCATAAGGGGTACAACCCAATTAGGGTTAGTACTTATACCCAACTGTTTCATAGTTCAATCATTCTCGTTCTAATGTTCACATGGTATAGAGCAGGTTCCCCCGTGGGAACTGTTCCTAGGGCCCACCGACCTTTTTTTTCCTGCCCGGAGCGCGCTTGGCCCCTGCCCAAGTCGCGCCCCGTGTGACTCCCCTTCGTGGCCTCTAGCGGCCTCCCTCACGGCCCCTAGTGGCCCCGTCGCGCCGTCCTCACGGCCCCGTCGCGCCGCCCTTGCGGCCCTCTTCGCACCGCCCTTGCGGCCCCTTTCCGCGGCCCCGTCGCCGCCCTTTCAGCGACCCCGTCGCCGCCCTTTCCGCGGCCCCATCGCCGCCCTTTCAGCGGCCCCGTCGCCGCCCTTCCACGGCCTCGCCGCCCGCCCTTGCAGCGGCCCCGTCGCCGCCCTTCCACGGCCCCGACGCCGCCCTTCCGCGGCCCCGTCGCCGCCCCTCCGCGGCCCCGACGCCGCCCTTCCACGGCCCTGTCGCCGCCCTCCAGCGGCCCCTTCGCCGCCCGTCCGCGGCCCCGTCGCCGCCCTTTCAGCGGCCCCGTCGCCGCCCTTTCAGCGGCCCCGTCGCCGCCCGCCCTTTCAGCGGCCCCATCGCCGCCCTTCCGCGGCCCCGTCGCCGCCCTTCAGCGGCCCAGTCGCCACCCTTCCGCAGCCCCGTCGCCGCCCTTTCAGCGGCCAGTCGCCGCCCTTTCAACGGCCCGTCGCCGCCCTTTCAGCGGCCCCGTCGCCGCCCTTCCGCGGCCCCGTCGCCACTCAGCCGCCCAGCGCCAGAGCCGCCGAACCGCCCAGCCGCCGAGCAACCGAGCCGCCGAGCAGCCGAGCCGCCGAGCAGCCGAGCCACCGAGCAGTCGAGCCGCCGAGCAGCCGAGCCGCCCTGCAGCCGAGCCGCCCGACCGCCGAGCCGCCCTGCAGCCGAGCCACCCGACCGCCGAGCCGCCCAGCAGCCGAGCCGCACCGCAGCCGAGGCGCTGCCGCCTGTCGGCCTGCCCGGGACCGCCCCACTTGCCTGGTAAGAGCAGCGCCTCTACCACTTCACTGCCCTGCCCCACTGTACTCAATGCCTGTCGAATGCTGTCATGGCCTCCCCTAGTGTTCTCACCTTTGACGCTGAGGGTCGGGCAGTTGACTTTGAGGTCTGGGTAGATGATCTGCAACTTTTCCTACAGTGCGATAGGGCAGACGGGCTCTCCTTGTTTGACCTCACTTTTGGTGCCTCTCCTGCCCCTGCTGCTGATGCTGACGCCACTGTTCGCTCACAGTGGGCCACGCGTGATGCTGCTGCTCGCCTTGCTGTGCGCCGCCACTTACCGACCACTGAGCGTGCACACTTTAGCCAGTACAAGAGTGCTCAGACCTTGTACGACGCTGTAGTTGCACGCTACTCTTCCCCTGCCACTGCTGCACTGAGCTGCCTCATGCTACCATACCTCTTCCCTGACCTCGCTGCCTTTCCCACAGTCGCTGACCTCATTACGCACCGACGCACTAGTGACACTTGCTACCGCACTGCGCTTCCTGCTGAGTTCTGCGCCAAGAACCCCCCCCCCCCCCCATGTACATCACCCTCTACTACATAGTCACCCGGCTCCCTCACTCTCTCCGCGTAGTCAGGGACCACTTCCTCTCAGTTTGCCCCACCACTCTCACCGTTGACCTCCTCGAGAAGGCCCTCCTAGCAGCAGAGACGAGTATAGTCGCTGTAGGAGGCTCTCGTGGTGACCCTCGCACCCCCATCTTTGAGGGGTGTTCTCCCTCCCCCCGATTGCCCTCTTTTGCCTCTGCTGTTGCGGCCGACCTCGTTGGTTTCGAGTCGGTCGGCGCTGCGTCTGCCCCGAGCGGGAGACGCCGCACCGGCAAGGGCAAGGGGGGCAAGGGCACTAGAGGGGCTGGCGGGGGCGGTGGAGGTGGTGGTGGAGGCAGTGGAGGGAGTGGGGGTGGTGGTGGGAGTGGTGCCGGGGGTGGTGGCGGCGGCGGCAGCAGTGGAGGCGGCGGAGGCGGCGGTGGTGGCGGAGGGAGCGGAGGCGGCGGAGGTGACGGAGGAGGCGGAGGTGGAGGAGGCTGCGGAGGCGGCGGTGGCGGCGGAGGCGATGGTGGAGCGGGTCGCGACTCCGCGCAGAGGAGTGGCTCAGGTGGTGGTCCGCGCCAGCAGCAGTGGAGTGGTGTGACCCTGTCCCCTCAGCAGCTTCGTGAGTGGTACACTGCGCGCCAGCGCGGTGGGAGTTTTGGTCCCTGCACTTACGTCCTCCGTACCGGTGACCGAGCTGGTGAGCAGTGCGGGGGCTCGCACTCCACCCAGCGCTGCTTCGGTCGCCTGACGGATGCGTGGCGTCGCCAGTTCCCTGAGGCGTCAGAGATCCCTCGCTGGGGAGATCTGTCTAGGGCGGGGGTTGCCGTCTTTGATCTTGACTATGATGCTATCCTTGGTGCCATGTATTCTGTGACTTCTAGTGTTGAGGGTGACTTTTACTTGTGTGTACCGCCTGACCCGGGCATTGAGGCCACTGCTCTAGGTGCTGGTGAGGCTGCAGCTCTAGGTGCTAGTGTGTCTACTGCCCCAGGTGCCAGTGCGTCTGCTGTCCCAGGTGCCAGTGCGTCTGCTGCCCCAAGTGCTGGTGAGTCTGCCCTCTCAGGTACTACGTCGGCTCAGGCCTTCCACACCTTCACCCTTGACTCGGGTGCGTCCCGCTCCTTCTTTTGAGACCGCACCACTCTTACGCCGCTCAGTCCGCCGGTTGCAGTCTCCCTGGCAGACCCCTCTGGGGGTCCTGTCCTTGCTAGCTTCTCCACTGTCTTACCGTGCGCGGCAGCCCCCTCTGGCACCCTGTCAGGTCTCTACCTTCCCTCATTCTCTACGAACTTGGTGAGTGGAGCGGACCTACAAGATAGGGGGGTTGACCAGTTCACTCCTGCGAGTCAGCGAGTGACCCACTGCACGTGTGCCCGGACAGGCCAACACTTGGCCACGTTCACTCGTCGGCCAGGGTCGAGCCTGTACACCCTTACTACTGAGTCTCCTCCGGCTGTTGAGTCTGGCCAGGTAGCTGCGTCGAGTCAGGTGTTTGCTGCAGCGTCTAGGTCTGGTCCTGAGTCTGCTCCCTGCTCGTGTCGTCTGCTGTCCCACCAGACTCTCCTCTGGCACCACCGCCTTGGTCACCCCTCCCTGCCTTGTCTCCGAGGCATGGCCTCCCGTGTCCTTGTCTCTGGTCTCCCTCGGTCTCTCCCTCCCCTACCTCCAGGGCCTGGCCCTACCTGCGTCCCCTGCGTCAAGGGGCGACAGCGCGCCGCCCCTCACTCCTCCGAGTTTCCTCTTACAGAGGCTCCGCTACAGACCCTCCACATGGACGTGTGGGGCCCCGCCCGCGTCCGTGGACAAGGGCACGAGCGTTACTTCCTGTTGGTGGTTGACGACTACTCGCGTTACACCATAGTCTTTCCCTTGCGCAGCATGACAAAATTAGAAGAAAGAAAGAGGGTTGAACTAGCAGAAATGGGGATACAAATAGCAAACCCTAGAAGGGTTGTACTCGCTATAGAGCACCCCACTACAGGCTAGAACATAAGATAATATTCTGACACAGCAAGGGTGACGTCACTGAGGTGTTGATTGACTGGATCCGCGCAGCTCGTCTCCAGCTCAGAGAGAGTTTCGGCTCAGACTTTCCTGTTCTGCGTCTGCACTCGGACAGAGGCGGGGAGTTTTCCTCTGCCCGTCTGGGAGCCTTCTGTCGTGCACAGGGCATCCGCCAGACCTTCACGCTTCCGACCTCTCCACAGCAAAATGGGATTGCTGAGCGCTGCATTGGCATGGTCATGGACGTCGCTCGTACGTCCATGATGCATGCGGCTGCCCCCCATTTTCTGTGGCCGTTTGCGGTTCAGTACGCCGCGCATCAGCTCAACCTTCAGCCCCGGGTCTCCTTGCCAGAGACCTCCCCCGCCTTGCGGTGGACGGGGAAGGTTGGCGATGCGTCTGCGTTTTGGGTCTGGGTATCTCGGTCGTTTGTCCGCGACTTGTCTGCGGACAAGTTGTCCCCCCGTGCTGTTCCCTGCGTCTTCCTTGGCTTCCCCCCTAACGCGCCTAAGTGGCAGTTTTACCACCCCACCTCGCGCCGTGTTCTCTCCTCCGAGGACGTCACCTTTGACGAGTCGGTGCCTTACTACCGTCTCTTCCCCTACCGCACTGCGCCCCCCCCCCCCCCCCCCCCGCCGCCGCTCTTCCTTGCACCAGGTCCTCCCCCGGTAGACCCCCTCCCCCCTCAGGGTCCTGCCCCGTCAGGTGTGTCCCAGGTAGACGCAGTTGAGCCTGTCGAGGTAGCTGCTAGAGGTGCTGAGCCTGCGGGTGCCGGGTCTGGGGCTGCGGAGACTGGGGGTGCTGAGTCTGGGGGTGCTGAGACTGGGGGTGCTGGGTCTGGGGGTGCGGAGCCTGGGGGTGTGGAGCCTGGAGGTGCGGAGCCTGGGGGTGCCGAGCCTGGGGGCGCTGGGTCTGCTCGTGTGGCCGCCGGCGGTGCTTTGTCGAGGCAAGAGCCACTCTCTCCACAGGAGTTGCGCGAGTGGTTTGCCCGCCGCTGGAGACGTGCTGCTGAGACTCGGGGTGCTGCTGGGGCTACTGGAGTTGGTCCTGCTGGAGCTGCTAGCGATACTAGTGCTGGTGAAGCTGGAGCTGCTGGGGGTGTTGGCGCTGGTGTTTCTACTGGTGCTGGTGCGTCTGGGGGTGCTGGTGGGGCTGCTAGAGCTGACGGTCCTACTGGAGTTGGTGCTGCTGGAGCTGGAGCTGCTGGGGGTGTTGGCGTTGGCGGTGCTGCTGGTGCTGGTGCTTCTGAGGGTGCTGGAGTTGGCGCTGTTGGAGCTGGAGGTGCTACTGGCGCTGGTGCTGCCGCTTGGGGTACTGGTGCCGTCCCTGCTGGTTCTGGAGGCGCTGAGCGGTCGAGGCCGTACTTCGTTCCGCTCCTGGAGCAGGTTCTTGTTCTCCCGCCCTCTCCTGGTCCTGCTCCTTCCTTAGAGTGTCCACAGCCTGTCCAGTCGCAGTCACAGTTACAGCCCGCCTCCCCTCTACCTGCTCCTTCTCCCTACACTGGTCCTACTGGAGGTCTTGCTGAGCGTCGTGCGCCTGCGTCTCGTCCTGCGTCGCCTGTTCGTAGTGCTCGCACTACTGGTCGTACTGCGCGTCCGCGTCCTCCTGCGGTCCCCGGCACACACCAGATGGCACTGTGTCCTTCCACTGCTCCTCTGCGTGTCCCGTTGCCGTCTCCTCCAGAGTCCTCTCTTCCTACTCTTGCTGACCCGGAGTCTGACTCCCTTCGTGCTGCCAGTCCTTCGGTCACGCGTCTCCTTGCTACTGTTGTCACTGACCCTTCCTTTGAGTCCACTGCTGCGTCTACCCTAGTTGCTGAGCTTGTCGACTTTGCTGCTCGCTGTCGTCTAGACTACGCTGCCAGTCTCGTTGCTGAGTCTGAGTCTGTCTGTCCTCCATCCGTCGGGGGTGAGTGTGCTCTTAGCACGGACGTCCTTGAGGACAGGCACGAGGAGTTCCAGTGCGTTGCTGCTGCTTTGCCCCATCTCGTGTCCACACTGAGTGCCCCTGAGGGAGACCCGGATGCACCAGACATCCCGACTCCTCGATCGTACGCTGAGGCGATCGAGGGTCCCTACTCCTCTCAGTGGCAGTCAGCCATGGATGAAGAGATGGCTTTCTCGAAGTCCACAGGCACCTACGTCAACGAGGTTCCCCCACCTGGTGCGAACATCGTCAGTGGCATGTGGATTTTTAGGGTGAAGCGGCCGCCGGGTTCTCCGCCTGTCTTCAAGGCGCGTTATGTGGCTTAAGGCTTCAGTCAGCGGCAGGGAGTTGACTACTTCCAGACCTTCTCTCCCACCCCGAAGATGACCACTCTTCGGGTGTTGCTGCACATAGCCGCTCAGCGCGACTACGAGCTTCACTCTCTTGACTTCAGCACAGATTTCCTGCAGGGAAGCCTGCACGAGGAGATCTGGCTGCGCCGCCCAGTTGGCTTCACTGGGTCGTTTCCCCCTGGTACCCAGTGGAGCCTCCGGCGGCCAGTCTACGGTCTCCGCCAGGCACCCCGTGAGTGGCACAACACACTGAGGACTACACTTGCGGCTCTTGGGTTTGCTCCCTCTACTGCCGACCCGTCGCTGTTTCTGCGCACCGACACTTCTTTGCCGCCGTTCTACATCCTCGTGTACGTCGACGACTTGGTCTTTGCCACTGCTGACACTGCTGGACTCGCCCACGTGAAGTCCAAGCTGCAAAAGAGACACACGTGCACAGACCTGGGTGAACTGCGCAGCTACCTTGGCTTGCAGATCACCCGAGACAGAGCACAGCGCACCATTACCCTGACTTAGTCACACATGGTGCAGCAGGTCCTTCAGCGCTTCGGCTTCACGTACTCCTCGCCTCAGGCCACTCCTCTGTCTACTCGCCACTCGCTCTCAGCTGTGCCTTTGGATGAGTCCGTAGAGCCAAGTGGCCCGTACCCAGAGCTTGCTGGCTGCCTTATGTACCTGATGACCTGCACACGACCTGACCTTGCATACCCTCTTAGCATCTTGGCACGCTATGTTGCTCCTGGGAGACACCGACCAGAGCACATGGCTGCAGCGAAGAGGGTGTTGCGCTACGTGTGCAGTACGTCGGGCATGGGGCTAGTGCTTGGAGGGCGACGTCGAGTGGTCCTCACAGGTCACGCTGGCGCTTCTTGGGCTGACGACCAGGCTCTGCAGCGGTCGTCACAGGGTTACACCTTCAGCCTTGGCTCCGGCTCTGTTTCGTGGCGGTCTACCCGTTCGTCCTCTGTTCTCAGCTCCAGCTGTGAGGCTGAGATCTACGCACGGGCCATGGCTGCACAGGAGCTACGCTGGCTCACCTACCTGTTGAGTGACCTAGGAGAGCCGCCTCGTTCTCCTCCAGTTCTGTACGTAGATAACAAGCCATGCTGGCCTTGTGTCGGGAGCACAGACTGGAGCACAGAACGAAGCACATTGCTCTCCGCTACTTCCTGGCTCGTGAGCTGCAGCAGCGTGGTCAGCTCCGCCTCACCTACGTGGCCTGTGAGGCCAACACTGCTGATATCTTCACCAAGGCCCTTCCGCCTTGTGATCATCAGCGCTTCTGTACTTTGCTAGGTCTTGTGCCTACCTTGCC